TTAGAAGCTCAACAATTCCTGCCTTTACTATTACGTCTTTATCTGCACCATCTGTTGCCCGAATTACAATCGAGATTTCACTGACATAATCCATGTGTTTCTATTTAAATAAACCCATTTTCATTAAACATTGTGTGATGTTTATGGGTGAACCATACAAAAGCCTCATCCCCTCCCCCTCCTCTCCTGCTCTCTATCCTTCCCTCCCTCCCCGCTTGCCTCCTTCATCCACTTCCGCTGCTGTTGCTAAGAGCATTGGGTGTATGCTAGTCTGTGAAAACCAGTAGACTCAGAGAGGTGGATCTCCTCGTGGGTTGCTATGGGCAACACACAGTGTAAAACAGAGAATCAGAAGCCCAGCATGCAGACCTCCATACATGATAAAGACTGACCTATTTTTCTCAGTCAAAAGAGATCATCTGCACAGAAGCTATAGCATGTAGAAATGAAACCCAAATTGCATACGCTCTGCTGCCAAGTAGTGTGTAATCCAAAGCACAAAAAGCTAATTAAATGATAAATAGTCAAATATTTTTTGTTGTTGCTTTGCAGGCGTGAATTGAGTGGAGATCCCTGCTGAAGCAAAGTGCTCCAGCCCCTGCACCTGACGGGCTTTATATTGTGATTCACTGCACACTACCCGCAGGCTCTCTCTCCCCATCTCTGTTGTAGCTGCAGCCATTCATGGCCCACTGAATCACCTCGACTACATCAGCAAGCACAGACCTCAAGTAACTCAGTCAGTCGGTCACTTACTCTTTTCACATGAAACGACCATTGAAGATGGTAACATCATGCAAAAACACCCTGTTTATATCCAAAGACACATTTCAAATACTCACAAATAATAGACAACAACATTTATTTTTCTTATTGACTATTTTGATATTTTGACTCTGTAAGGGCATTATATTAGACAAAGGACAATATGCAGTTGCTCACATGACCAGGATCTTAGGAAATACTTTGTGAAAAGAAGCTTTGGTCTCAACAGCAAGGTTGCTTCATTTCCTGAGATGACTTTTAAGTAGGTACAACGCAGAGTGAATAACACAGACAATATACAAACTGCCGTCAAATGTGTTATAAGTGAACAGTGAGGAACCCAACTTACAATCATCTATAACAACTAATGAACTTGGCAGACAACCTCTTAAACTCCCCCAAAGATGGATTTTATATCTGCATTTCTTTCCAACGTCACTAAGTAGGTGTTGAAGTCCTTTTTGGCAATTTAATTTTAATCTTTAATGAAGGCATGAGTATCTTTGTTTTGATTTTTTGTTTTGCAAGTATTATTCCAAAAACTGCCTTCTAATGAAGTCACCTTTCTTACCTCAGTAGATGTCCTCCTCCTGTCAGGGAGCACTAGTGTGTTGGCATGGCTGCCCGGGACTATAGTAGATCCTATACTCATTCTGGGTCCCACTAACATGTAGCGTTTGTCTCCAGATCTGTACTGGATGCTGTGACACAGTGTCCCGTCATAATTAGTCTCTTGTAGATATTTGGAAGTGTAGTCTGTGGATTTGGAGCACTGCATTGCAATGAGCACGATGATGCTGATGAGAAAAAGTGCTGAAACTGAGGCCAAAGTTATCATGAGATAAAAAGTCACATTACTCTCCTCATCATCATTTGTTGCACTTTTAACATCAGAAGCAGCAAAAGCCTCTTTGGGCTCCACAACTTTGACAATGATAGTAGCTGTTGCAGAGAGGGAAACGTTTCCATTGTCTTTGACCAGTATGACCAGTTTCTGCTCAGCCTCGTCTGTCTCTGTGAATGAGCGAAGTGTTCTGATCTGTCCTGTATAGCGGTCCAAAGCAAAGAGACTGTGCTCAGTCACTTCCTGCAGTGAAAACAGTAACCAGCCGTTATATCCTATATCAGCGTCATAGGCTCTGACTTTAGTCACCAAGTGTGCTGCGTTCACATTGCGGGGAATCTCCTCCACACCTTCAGCAGAACCGTTGGAGCTGACTGGATACAGGATGACTGGAGCGTTGTCGTTCTGATCCAGAATGAACACGTTCACTGTGACGTTGCTGCTTAGTGACGGAGTTCCAGAATCTGTGGCCACAACTTGGAACTGGAACGTTTTCACTGTTTCAAAGTCGAAACTTTTCAGTGCGGTGATGTCTCCATTTTCTGAGTTAATGTTGAGAAAAGATGTAAATGATTTGTGCTCATCCCCATTTCTTACAATGTTATATGATATTAAAGCATTGTCAGCCTCATCACAATCATGAGCACTCACTGAAAACAAAGATGCTCCTGCTACATTGTTCTCAACAACATAAAAGGTATATGGACTTGTTGAAAACTCTGGACTGTTGTCATTCACATCTGATACAGACACACTAATTGTCCTCTGAGATGACAAAGGTTGTTCACCACCATCTTTTGCAATTATGGTCACATCATACGTTGACTGTTGCTCTCTGTCAAGTAGAGATTTAGTGACTATAGAGTACATATTGTCTTGTAAAGAAGGTGTTAATGTAAAAGGTACATCCTCACTTATATAACAGATCACCTTTCCATTTACACCTGAATCCCTGTCCTGCACACTTATCAAGGCTACTGTCGTTCCAGGTTTAGCATCCTCAGGAATTGCTTTGGAAAAGGACGTCACCTCAATGTCAGGTGCGTTATCATTCAGGTCCACTATAGTTATTACAACACTTTTTTCTGTTTCCAGGGGGACTGGCCCTTTATCAGAAGCTTTAATATTGATTTCATACCTGTCTTTTGCTTCAAAATCTATCTGTCCTTTAACAATAATTGTACCTGTGTTAGGATCAACTTCAAAAAGTTTGCGTAATCTATTATTCACATTATCGCCAAACGAATAAACCACCTCGCCATTTAAACCATCATCTAAATCGGTGGCATTTACTTGCATGATAGTTGTGCCTATCGGTGAATTTTCTTTTAGCATTGCAGAGTAGGATTCTTTTGCAAAAACTGGCATATTGTCATTTACATCCAAAACATTAACTAGAATTGCCATGCTTCCAGATTTAGCAGGCTTTCCTCCATCAACCGCTGTCAACATTAATCTATGACTTCTTGAAGTTTCTTTGTCCAGTGGTTTATGCAAATACAATACAGGAATTTTCCCATCCTCTCCTCCACCTTTTACCTCCAGACGAAAGTGTTCATTTTGGCTGAGCCTATACTGTTGAATAGAATACATATCACTATCTGGATCATGGGCGCCTTGTAGCTGAAATCGCGCCCCAGGTAAAGCAGATTCTGAAATCTGTAATTGAGTCTCGTTTTCGGGGAAGGTGGGGGAGTGATCGTTTACATCCAAAATCTCAATAGCGACGTAATGCACCTCTAACGGATTCTCCAGAACAGTCTTTATGTTAACAATGCAGCTGCTGATCCGTTCACACACCTCCTCTCTGTCAATTTTTCGGTTAACGTGTAAGATGCCATGATTGTTGAGATGAAACAACGGGTCCGTAGATCCAGAAACGATGCGAAAGCCTCTGGCATTCAAAGCAGTGCTGTCCAGCCCTAAATCTTTTGCGACATTCCCAACAACAGAACCCACCTTGGTCTCTTCAGCAATAGAGTATCGTAGCTGTGCCGAAGCAACATTTAAAGTAAGATCCAAGGTAACAATGACAACGACCAGGCGCTCCAACCACGCGCTGCATCCACGTCGTGCCATTTTCGGATTTGGAAAAGATAAAAAATATAATCCTTAATGTGGGTATGTTAAATGTTGGTCCAAACAAGGACAGGCATTTTAATCAACATTAACAGCTTCCTCAAATAAGAGACATGTAGGGAAACGAATCACACGTTTGAAGCCATCGCCCTCTTAAGCAAGAGTGCACCCTGTCGCGAAAACTAACTACTCACGTGACGTATTTGACGTTCAACCAAGAGGCTTTCATTTCAACAAGCAGTGACACCATGCGAGCTGATGTTACAATGCAGATACATGTTCTATAAAACATAACTGTGGTTAAATATCCCCTATGCCGGAGGATGTAAGCATTAAAATAATACAAGTGGAGCACGTTGCCTCTCAGACTGAATGACATCTGCAGACCATACACCTGGGGTACATCTGATTTCTATTAAATGATTAAGTCCAAATTAAGAATAAAATAATGATTATGACCTCCATTATTCCATTCATTGTCTAAAACATGTTTTACCTCTCTAGTTGCTCTCCTTCAGTAAGGGAGCAGCCATGTATTAGTATGGCTGTTCGTGATATGTGCTGTGTTCAATATCAGTTATCACGTTATGAGTGGAGTTAACATTCTGGGCTGCGTGAAATCCAAACACACAACCATCGTAAAAAGCAACTACTGAACTAAGCAGCTCCATAATAACCATCTCGTCAACTATTTATAGGATATCATTTTTTCTGCAGTCCGTTTCTATCCAGCTTTTCTGAGGAGATTCTGTGTTTCAGTTCTTCTCTGCAAAATTAAATCATTCAGACCCGCATCTCATCCGTCTGTCATTCACACAAAATCTGCCATTATTAAAGTGTGACCTTGTAATTAACATACTTCACAAAGTATTTTAATTCAAATATTGCGACCTAGAAATATTTGTATGCAATTGAATTTGACAGAAGAAAGCACACTACACTGTAAGTTAGAAAGTACTGTATATAATATTATTTCACATTTGTTCAATTTGTTAATTAGAAAAACATACATGTACTGTAATTTTATTTTAGATTACACAGAAATTAAAAAGTTGTTATGAACTCTTTAAATTTTAGGTTTGATAAATGACGTCATTGGCCGGCATGCAGAGGTGACGTAAATGGTCGGGGTCGTGGTCAAGGGATGAATGCGCATGTATGCCGTTTTTGTTGTGAGGACCCGATGCTTCTTAAGAAAGAGAATCATAAAAAAAATACAGCACCGGGAAGAATAAAGTTGCCAAACGGAAGACAGAGTCCTGGTCTTTTGATGGGTGCAACACATACAGTAAGTTTTACACTTAGTGATCATTTATCTTACCTCAGTAGAAGTTCTCCTCCTGTCAGGGAGCACTAGTGTGTTGGCATGGCTGCCTGGGACTATAGTAGATCCTATACTCATTCTGGGTCCCACTAACATGTAGCGTTTGTCTCCAGATCTGTACTGGATGCTGTGACACAGTGTCCCGTCATAATTAGTCTCTTGTAAATATTTGGAAGTGTAGTCTGTGGATTTGGAGCACTGCATTGCAATGAGCACGATGATGCTGATGAGAAAAAGTGCTGAAACTGAGGCCAAAGTTATCATGAGATAAAAAGTCACATTACTCTCCTCATCATCGTTTGTTGCACTTTTAACATCAGAAGCAGCAAAAGCCTCTTTGGGCTCCACAACTTTGACAATGACAGTAGCTGTTGCAGAGAGGGAAACGTTTCCATTGTCTTTGACCAGTATGACCAGTTTCTGCTCAGCCTCGTCTGTCTCTGTGAATGAGCGAAGTGTTCTGATCTGTCCTGTATAGCGGTCCAAAGCAAAGAGACTGTGCTCAGTCACTTCCTGCAGTGAAAACAGTAACCAGCCGTTATATCCTATATCAGCGTCATAGGCTCTGACTTTAGTCACCAAGTGTGCTGCGTTCACATTGCGGGGAATCTCCTCCACACCTTCAGCAGAACCGTTGGAGCTGACTGGATACAGGATGACTGGAGCGTTGTCGTTCTGATCCAGAATGAACACGTTCACTGTGACGTTGCTGCTTAGTGACGGAGTTCCAGAATCTGTGGCCACAACTTGGAACTGGAACGTTTTCACTGTTTCAAAGTCGAAACTTTTCAGTGCAGTGATGACTCCATTTTCTGAGTTAATGTTAAGAAAAGATGTAAATGATTTGTGCTCATCCCCATTTCTTACAATGTTATATGATATTAAAGCATTGTCAGCCTCATCACAATCATGAGCACTCACTGAAAACAAAGATGCTCCTGCTACATTGTTCTCAACAACATAAAAGGTATATGGACTTGTTGAAAACTCTGGACTGTTGTCATTCACATCTGATACAGACACACTAATTGTCCTCTGAGATGACAAAGGTTGTTCACCACCATCTTTTGCAATTATGGTCACATCATATGTTGACTGTTGCTCTCTGTCAAGTAGAGATTTAGTGACAATAGAGTACATATTGTCTTGTAAAGAAGGTGTTAATGTAAAAGGCACATCCTCACTTATATAACAGATCACCTTTCCATTTACACCTGAATCCCTGTCCTGCACACTTATCAAGGCTACTGTCGTTCCAGGTTTGGAATCCTCAGGAATTGCTTTGGAAAAGGATGTCACCTCAATGTCAGGTGCGTTATCATTCAGGTCCACTATAGTTATTACAACAGTTTTTTCTGTTTCCAGGGGGACTGGCCCTTTATCAGAAGCTTTAATATCAATTTCGTACCTATCATTTGCTTCAAAATCTATCAGTCCTTTAACAATAATTGTACCTGTATTGGGATCAACTTCAAAAAGTTTGCGTAATTTATTATTCACATTATCGCCAAACGAATAAACCACCTCGCCATTTAAACCATCATCTAAATCGGTGGCATTTACTTGCATGATAGTTGTGCCTATCGGTGAATTTTCTTTTAGCATTGAAGAGTAGGAGTCTTTCGCAAAAACTGGCATATTGTCATTTACATCCAAAACATTAACTAAAATTGCCATGCTTCCAGATTTAGCAGGCTTTCCTCCATCAACTGCTGTCAACATTAATCTATGACTTCTTGAAGTTTCTTTGTCCAGTGGTTTATGCAAATACAACAGAGGAATTTTCCCATTCTTTCCTCTATCTTTAACCTCCAGACGAAAGTGTTCATTTGGGCTGAGCCTATACTGTTGAATAGAATACATATCACTATCTGGATCATGGGCGCCTTGTAGCTGAAATCGCGCCCCAGGTAAAGCAGATTCTGAAATCTGTAATTGAGTCTCGTTTTCGGGGAAGGTGGGGGAGTGATCGTTGACATCCAAAATCTCAATAGCGACATAATGCACCTCTAACGGATTCTCCAGAACAGTCTTTATGTTAATAATGCAGCTGCTGATCTGTTCACACGCCTCCTCTCTGTCAATTTTCGGTTAACGTGTAAGATGCCATGATTGTTGAGATGAAACAACGGGTCCGTAGATCCAGAAACGATGCGAAAGCCTCTGGCATTCAAAGCAGTGCTGTCCAGCCCTAAATCTTTTGCGACATTCCCAACAACAGAACCCACCTTGGTCTCTTCAGCAATAGAGTATCGTAGCTGTGCCGAAGCAACATTTAAAGTAAGATCCAAGGTAACAATGACAACGACCAGGCGCTCCAACCACGCGCTGCATCCACGTCGTGCCATTTTCGGATTTGGAAAAAAAAATTAAAAAAAATCCTTAATGTGGGTATGTTAAATGTTGGTCCAAACAAGGACAGGCATTTTCATCAACATTAACAGCTTCCTCGAACAACAGGCACGTAGGGAAACGAGTCACACGTTTGAAGCCGTCGCCCTCTTAAACACGAGTGCACCCTGTCGCGAAAAAACACCCAACTACTCACGTGACGTAGATGATGTTAAACCCAGAGTCTTTCATTTCAACAAGCAGTGACACCATGCGAGCTGATGTTACAATGCAGATACAACTTCCATAAAACATACCTGTGGTTAAATGTCCCCTATGCCAGAGGATGTAAGCATTAAAATAATACAAGTGGAGCACGTTGCCTCTCAGACTGAATGACATCTGCAGACCATACACCTGGGGTACATCTGATTTCTATTAAATAATTCAAGCCCAAATTATGAATAAAAAATGATTATAACCTCCATTATTCCATTCATTGTCTAAAACATGTTTTACCTCTCTAGTTGCTCTCCTTCAGTAAGGGAGCAGCCATGTATTAGTATAGCTGCTCGTGATATGTGCTGTGTTCAATATCAGTTATCAAGTTATGAGTGGAGTTAACATTCTGGGCTGCGTGAAATCCAAACACACAACCATCGTAAAAAGCAACTACTGAACTAAGCAGTTCCATAAAAACCATCTCGTCAACTATTTATAGGATATCATTTTTTCTCCAGTCCGTTTCCATCAAGCTTCTCTAAGGAGATTCTGTGTTTCAGTTCTTCTCTGCAAATTTAGATCATTCAGACCCGCATCTCATCTGTCTGTCATTCACACAAAATCTGCCATTATTAATGTGTGACCTTGTAATTAACATACTTCACAAAGTATTTTTTCATTCTTACAGGTAGCTGTGCACTAAGTGTTCATTTCTCTCACCTCAGTAGATGTCCTCCTCCTGTCAGGGAGCACTAGTGTGTTGGCATGGCTCCCGGGACTATAGTAGATCCTATACTCATTCTGGGTCCCACTAACATGTAGCGTTTCTCTCCAGATCTGTACTGGATGCTGTGACACAGTGTCCCGTCATAATTAGTCTCTTGTAGGTATTTGGAAGTGTAGTCGGTGGATTTGGAGCACTGCATTGCAATGAGCACGATGATGCTGATGAGAAAAAGTGCTGAAACTGAGGCCAAAGTTATCATGAGATAAAAAGTCACATTACTCTCCTCATCATCGTTTGTTGCACTTTTAACATCAGAAGCAGCAAAAGCCTCTTTGGGCTCCACAACTTTGACAATAACAGTAGCTGTTGCAGAGAGGGAAACGTTGCCATTGTCTTTGACCAGTATGACCAGTTTCTGCTCAGCCTCGTCTGTCTCTGTGAATGAGCGAAGTGTTCTGATCTGTCCTGTATAGCGGTCCAAAGCAAAGAGACTGTGCTCAGTCACTTCCTGCAGTGAAAACAGTAACCAGCCGTTATATCCTATATCAGCGTCATAGGCTCTGACTTTAGTCACCAAGTGTGCTGCGTTCACATTGCGGGGAATCTCCTCCACACCTTCAGCAGAACCGTTGGAGCTGACTGGATACAGGATGACTGGAGCGTTGTCGTTCTGATCCAGAATGAACACGTTCACTGTGACGTTGCTGCTTAGTGACGGAGTTCCAGAATCTGTGGCCACAACTTGGAACTGGAACGTTTTCACTGTTTCAAAGTCGAAACTTTTCAGTGCAGTGATGACTCCATTTTCTGAGTTAATGTTAAGAAAAGATGTAAATGATTTGTGCTCATCCCCATTTCTTACAATGTTATATGATATTAAAGCATTGTCAGCCTCATCACAATCATGAGCACTCACTGAAAACAAAGATGCTCCTGCTACATTGTTCTCAACAACATAAAAGGTATATGGACTTGTTGAAAACTCTGGACTGTTGTCATTCACATCTGATACAGACACACTAATTGTCCTCTGAGATGACAAAGGTTGTTCACCACCATCTTTTGCAATTATGGTCACATCATACGTTGACTGTTGCTCTCTGTCAAGTAGAGATTTAGTGACAATAGAGTACATATTGTCTTGTAAAGAAGGTGTTAATGTAAAAGGTACATCCTCACTTATATAACAGATCACCTTTCCATTTACACCTGAATCCCTGTCCTGCACACTTATCAAGGCTACTGTCGTTCCAGGTTTAGCATCCTCAGGAATTGCTTTGGAAAAGGACGTCACCTCAATGTCAGGTGCGTTATCATTCAGGTCCACTATAGTTATTACAACACTTTTTTCTGTTTCCAGGGGGACTGGCCCTTTATCAGAAGCTTTAATATCGATTTCATACCTGTCTTTTACTTCAAAATCTATCTGTCCTTTAACAATAATTGTACCAGTATTGGGGTCAACTTCAAAAAGTTTGCGTAATCTATTATTCACATTATCGCCAAACGAATAAACCACCTCGCCATTTAAACCATCATCTAAATCGGTGGCATTTACTTGCATGATAGTTGTGCCTATCGGTGAATTTTCTTTTAGCATTGCAGAGTAGGAGTCTTTTGCAAAAACTGGCATATTGTCATTTACATCCAAAACATTAACTAAAATTGCCATGCTTCCAGATTTAGCAGGCTTTCCTCCATCAACTGCTGTCAACATTAATCTATGACTTCTTGAAGTTTCTTTGTCCAGTGGTTTATGCAAATACAACAGAGGAATTTTCCCATCAGTTCCTCTATCTTTTACCTCCAGACGAAAGTGTTCATTTTGGCTGAGCCTATACTGTTGAATAGAATACATATCACTATCTGGATCATGGGCGCCTTGTAGCTGAAATCGCGCCCCAGGTAAAGCAGATTCTGAAATCTGTAATTGAGTCTCGTTTTCGGGGAAGGTGGGGGAGTGATCGTTGACATCCAAAATCTCAATAGTGACGTAATGCACCTCTAACGGATTCTCCAGAACAGTCTTTATGTTAACAATGCAGCTGCTGATCCGTTCACACACTTCCTCTCTGTCAATTTTTCGGTTAACGTGTAAGATGCCATGATTGTTGAGATGAAACAACGGGTCCGTAGATCCAGAAACGATGCGAAAGCCTCTGGCATTCAAAGCAGTGCTGTCCAGCCCTAAATCTTTTGCGACATTCCCAACAACAGAACCCACCGTGAGCTCTTCAGCAATAGAGTATCGTAGCTGTGCCGAAGCAACATTTAAAATAAGATCCAAGGTAACAATAACAACGACCAGGCGCTCCAACCACGAGCTGCATCCACGTCGTGCCATTTTCGGATTTGGAAAAAAAATAAAATAATAATCCTTAATGTGGGTATGTTAAATGTTGGTCCAAACAAGGACAGGCATTTTCATCAACATTAACAGCTTCCTCGAACAACAGGCACGTAGGGAAACGAGTCACACGTTTGAAGCCGTCGCCCTCTTAAACACGAGTGCACCCTGTCGCGAAAAAACACCCAACTACTCACGTGACGTAGATGATGTTAAACCCAGAGTCTTTCATTTCAACAAGCAGTGACACCATGCGAGCTGATGTTACAATGCAGATACATGTTCTATAAAACATAACTGTGGTTAAATTTCCCCTATGCCGGAGGATATAAGCATTAAAATAATACAAGTGGAGCACGTTGCCTCTCAGAATGAATGACATCTGCAGACCATACACCTGGGGTACATCTGATTTCTATTAAATGATTAAAGCCCAAATTAAGAATAAAATAATGATTATAACCTCCATTATTCCATTCATTGTCTAAAACATGTTTTACCTCTCTAGTTGCTCTCCTTCAGTAAGGGAGCAGCCATGTATCAGTATGACTGCTTGTGATCTGTGCAGTGTTCAATATCAGTTATCAAGTTATGAGTGGAGTTAACATTCTGGGCTGCGTGAAATCCAAACACACAACCATCGTAAAAAGCAACTACTGAACTAAGCAGTTCCATAATCACCATCTCGTCAACTATTTATAGGATATAATTTTTTTCTCCAGTCCGTTTCGATCCAGCTTCTCTGAGGAGATTCTGTGTTTCAGTTCTTCTCTGCAAATTTAAATCATTCAGACACGCATCTCATCCGTCTGTCATTCACACAAAATCTGCCGTTATTAATGTGTGACCTTGTAATTAACATACAACACAAAGTATTTTTTAATTCTTACAGGTAGCTGTGCACTAAGTGTTCATTTCTCTCACCTCTGTAGAAGTCCTCCTCCTGTCAGGGAGCACTAGTGTGTTGGCATGGCTCCCCGGGACTATAGTAGATCCTATACTCATTCTGGGTCCCACTAACATGTAGCGTTTCTCTCCAGATCTGTACTGGATGCTGTGACACAGTGTCCCGTCATAATTAGTCTCTTGTAGATATTTGGAAGTGTAGTCTGTGGATTTGGAGCACTGCATTGCAATGAGCACGATGATGCTGATGAGAAAAAGTGCTGAAACTGAGGCCAAAGTTATCATGAGATAAAAAGTCACATTACTCTCCTCATCATCGTTTGTTGCACTTTTAACATCAGAAGCAGCAAAAGCCTCTTTGGGCTCCACAACTTTGACAATGACAGTAGCTGTTGCAGAGAGGGAAACGTTGCCATTGTCTTTGACCAGTATGACCAGTTTCTGCTCAGCCTCGTCTGTCTCTGTGAATGAGCGAAGTGTTCTGATCTGTCCTGTATAGCGGTCCAAAGCAAAGAGACTGTGCTCAGTCACTTCCTGCAGTGAAAACAGTAACCAGCCGTTATATCCTATATCAGCGTCATAGGCTCTGACTTTAGTCACCAAGTGTGCTGCGTTCACATTGCGGGGAATCTCCTCCACACCTTCAGCAGAACCGTTGGAGCTGACTGGATACAGGATGACTGGAGCGTTGTCGTTCTGATCCAGAATGAACACGTTCACTGTGACGTTGCTGCTTAGTGACGGAGTTCCAGAATCTGTGGCCACAACTTGGAACTGGAACGTTTTCACTGTTTCAAAGTCGAAACTTTTTAGTGCCAAAATATCTCCGTTTTCAGAGTTAATGTTTAAGAACAATCCCACGCTATCTCCATCCCTGTCCCTTGGTATTTTATAAGAAATATGAGCATTATCCCCATCATCAAGGTCAGATGCGCTTACAGAAAATATAGGTGAT